TACTGGTGGGAACTGAAATGTGTTGAAAATCAGTTGCTGTCTTGTGTTTCAACTTATGGGAAAAAATGAATAAATGTACACTGACAGTAACATATACTATAAATGATGAGTTCACTCCATAAAGCAAGCATGAAGAAGAAATATATTACATTTTTCGCTGTACTTGTACTCAGAGGTCATTTAGCTCAGCTTTTGTTTGCATTTGTTCACATCGTAAAAAGAAAAGCTAAACTTTGGCATTTACATAAATAAATATAGTCCAGATGTTTTCCCATCATTGTTGAAAACAGCAGACCAGCTTGACTGACACATTAAAGTTTGTATTCTGCCAAATTTGGTGGAGATGTGGAATGAATTTCGCATTCATAGTCAGCAGACTTGTTTCAGACTTTAAGGGAATACTTTGACATTTTGAGAGATATGCTTTTGGTTGCTTTCTTGCAGAGTTAGATGACGATTGAGATACCAATCTCACACGGGTAAATATGAAGGCACAGCCAGTTTATGGTTAGCTTAGCATAAAAGCTGGAAGCAGAGGGAAACAGCTAGCCTGGTACCTCTAAAGCTCACTAATGTACATGTTATATCTCGTCTGTTTCATACAAACAAATGTTGCACTTTAAAACTGACTGTGTGGTTTTATGGGGAATTATGTGCCAGGCGCAGTGACTTCCTGGAAGCCCATTTGAAAGTTGAAATGGTCATTGTTAGACTTTGGTTTGCACACAGGTACAATATATAATGTGTTAGTTAGTGAGCTTTAGAGTTTATGGTAGACAGAGATTTACTCTTGGACAGAGCCTGCTAGCTGTTTTCCCCTGTTTCCAGCCTTAATGCTAAGCTAATCAGCTGCTGACTACATCTTCATATTCAGCCTACAGACAAGAGAGTGGTAAAGATGTTCTGGGCAAGAAAGTTAAAACCTAAAATGTCAAACAATTACTCAGGCAAATGGACTTCAGAACACCAAAATAAAATACTTTGAAATGGTGGGGCTGAATACAAAACCATATTTAGCAACCACTGACTGCCGTTAAATACGACACAAAGGCTCTGTGGGTGCTCAATAGAACACGTAGATATGGGAGGGTTTGATTAGAACCATGTCTTTTTCTTTGTTCTGGTTTTTCTTATCGCTTTTGTTTTGTCTCACAGCTTCTCTCCTGTGGATTTTATAATTTCCCTCTCTCTCTCAACACACAGACAGACACACACACACACACACACACACACACACAATGCAACCATGAGGTGAAGCCCTCACAGCAGAATCCTTTTCTGTCACCAAGCTGTATTTATAACCCAGTCTATCAACCAGCCCCGGGGACATATGACACTATTCTCTGGACCAAGACCACCAAAGTGCCCCCAAGTCATCCATTATGATAGGATGAGTGTGTGTCTGTGTGTGCACGCACATGCCTGCATTTGTGCTTGTGTACAGTATTAAGCAGATACAGTATATGGGCTCCAACTTAATACAGAAAACATACAGTGGCTGTACAACTGTCACACATTACATTACAGTCATTTAGCAGACACTTTTATCCAAAGCGACTTACAATTCAGAGTCTATCACATTTCGACACCGTAGGCACAACTACGGGAGCAATTTTGGGGTTAGGTGTCTTGCTCAAGGACACATCGACATGCGACTAGCAGAGCCGGAGCTTGAGATTAGGGATTGAACCGCCGACCCTCTGATTGAAAGACGGCCCTGCTATCCACTTAGCCACAGTCGCCCCATACACAGCTACTGAAGGTCAGAGAGAGAGACCGAGAGGGTAGTGTAGAAGAAGACAAAGGGAGAAACAAGCAAGGAGACAGAGATGGAGGCCATGAGGGAAGGAAGATATGAATGAAGGGGATTGGAGGTGGATGGGAGGGGAGGAGGTAGACGAGAAAAACAGGAGGGTGCTCGCGCTTGCTGTCTGTCTCTGCTGAGATCTATATCCTCTTCTGTCCAAGGTCACGATTGTTACATGGGAGCATAGCAATTTCTCGGACTCACTCGCACACACACTTAGTGAGGTACGGCTCTGCCGATAACTACAAGCAACCATTATAGATTAAAGCAATTAAACCAGAGGGGACCTTTGACCCAACATTATACCACAGTCAGGATCCTGTGTGAATCATACGATGTGTAAGAGGAGGGCATGCTTTACATATGCTTGCCTCTGCACTAACCGCTCACCCTGATGTTAACCTTACAAAGCAATACAGCCCCCTTCACCCTGCACCCTGAGGCCAATCCAATAAAAAGCTCCACGCGTGCTGTAGTTCCGAGACCAATTACAGATTACAGTAAACCTCATGACCGTAACATAACCCAAAGTTTTTCCCCATGCTTTGTTGTTTCCTCTCCCTTTCTGCTGACTCTTGATTATTAATTCAATTATACATCCATTTGCACGCAATTTTCAGTCAGACTTTGGAGTTAAATCATTTATCTACCTCTTTTAGTTTACTCTAATCAACATGCACTTGCAGTGGAAGGAAGCACGGGGCTCCCAGTTGTGCTGCTGTGTTTTCCAGGATTGAGGGAGGTATATATTTAGAGAGAGAGGGAAGACACAAAAATAGAAAATGTCTGCTCCTTTTCCCCCCCAGGAACCTGGGAGGAGTGGGTGCAAAGTAACAGTAAAAAGAGAGAAGTTCCACCGTGTTGGAAGGATATGGAGCGAGGGTAAAGTCAGCATGAGGACAGCAGAACAAAAATGAACCAAGGGGAGACCTGCGAGCATCCACCCTGCTGTTACATCAGTATGCCCTCAGGGTTCAGGCAGAGGGTGTGTTGGGCTCCCTCTGCTGGACTCACACACACTGTCGATAACAAAGACCCTCAGAGGATGCTCTTCATCAAAACAACTTGTTATGACTGAACCCTTCTCTACTATACGTCTCTCATGTCCCCCAGTCTGCAGCGGTTTCAAACAATTCTCTCACAACTGAGTCACTTGTAAATGCCAACAATTTTGGAGCAGATCAATAGCTCGGGTAGTGAACTATAAGCTTGTTGACAGCTTAACACTATTTTCCCGCTAACACTATCAGCTCTATCAAAGGGACGTTGCTCTTAATTGAGCCTTGAGAGCTCTATCTTTCTTCTTTGATGACAGCCTCGCTTTCTACTCGACAGACTCAAGAGGGAGGATTTCCTGGAATAACACGGCTACCGAGATACGTGGGTGGAGAATATGCACACTCATAGATAAACACAAGGTACACACACAAACACACCCACACTGGCACAAAGAAGAGCAATCCCTCAGCTAAATCTGCAGTCACAGCAGGAAAACTGGCAGGCCCGAAAAGGTAAACGCAGGGCAGAGAGTGGTTTGCAAAAATGGCTTCATTGGATTACTTTCCCATCGGGGGTACATGCACACACACAAGTCGGGCAATGGGCTTATAGCTGCCAATTAGGCCAATAGTCTGACACAGCAGGATAGAGAAATAACCGGAGAATGAAAGTCCAAGTGAATCACACATAGACGTAGACCGTCTGGCACATTATTTGAAAAGTGTGTAATAGCGATAAAAAACCCTCTGACCTGTCGGTCCCCTCAAAGATTCTGGAGTTGGACATGACTAAGACCCACACACACACACACACACACATACATGCACGTACAGAAACTCCCAGATGCCCCTGGCCGTTTATCTAAATCAACAGGAGTTTCCTTTGGCTTCCAGTTGGTTTCATCATTCATGCTCATTTCAATGAATATTTCATCAGTGTGTTAGTGTCTCCTTCACATGCATTGTTTCCTGCTGTTAAAACAATACTCCACACTCTCTCTCTCTCTCTCTCTCTCTCTCTCTGCGTGTGTGTGTGTGTCTGTCTCACTCCCTATCTATCCTCCAGAGCCTTTGTTCTATGTGAACTCCACGGGGCTGTGAGATACATTCAGCGGCATGTACGTACACCTTATACCATTAAGTCAGACAGACACAGGCCAAATGACTGTTAGCCCGTCATTGTGTTCATGTGTTCAAGGTTAAGCGTTTGAGTGTATCAGTTGGTGTGTGTGAGAAAGAGATTAAGTGAAAAAAATACAGAGAAATATCAATGAAGGCAAATCATCCAGCTCATAACAGCTTCAGGGACTGACTGCTTTGGGGAATCACTGAATGAAATGAATCACACAGTGGCAATCAAGTCACAGCTGTATCATCTCAGTCAGACTGTCTGACAGCAAAGCCAGCAAAAAAACAGCACCACACACTTCCAATTATAGTTCAAATAACCTACTAATCTGTTAGATAAAACCAGTCATTGTGAGTAGAACTTGTGCGCCCCGCTCTGTCCTTTTTCTCCATTTAGTGCAACTTCCCATTAAACAAGCCAGCTCCCATGTTTCAGCCCAGCAAGCAGTCAGGAGTAGTTAGTGAGTAAATGCATTGGCTAATTTCAGGCCGAGCATCGATGTTAATACAATAACTGAGCAGCAGCGTGCGACAAATTTAATGTAATTGCTGCTGCTCTTTTGAAGACTATGGCAGTCGGCTACAGCAGAAAAACACATATACCAGTGCTTTATAATGAAGATATCTATAATTAAGAAGGATTTTGGCAGCGACGTCAATGTTGATTTGGCATCATCTTTATAAGTTCGGTTACTTTAATGGAAGACATATAGTTGCAGAGGTAACTAAAATGTGTTTCTCAGTGTCAGAAAGTGAAACGTCTACGTCAGCCCTCTCTGTCTTCAGCATGGCAGGGTTGCCTGTGTGTAAATCATGTCGTACAAATTTAATGTCAGTATGCTCGGAAAAGAAAGAAAAAACGTGACGAACAGTTCTCCGCTTCTCTGTATGCATGATTCATAACCGAGCCGAGCACTTAACGGGAGTCTCCGCCGCTCCGCTCCGCTCCTTCCCCGGCAAGTGGAACCGCGGGATGGGGCTCCCCAACCCTCCAACGCGGCGCACAACCAAGTCATCTCCCTCGCGCGAGTTAAGGTTCACGCAAACGAACCCGCCAGGGCACCCACCTTCATTCTCCGGGTAATTCCGTAAGGCTCGGCACGGCGACAACGCGTGAAAAAGAAGAAGCAGGGATGACAGGAGGTAAAGGGACGGATAGATCCACAGGACGCGTGGTGGTGCCATTTTTCAGGCTGCGCTGCGCCCTCGCTGCATCCCTGTTGGCGGTGTCGAGTCGGTGAGCGCAGCCCTGCGATTGAGAGGAGAAAGAGAGAGAGGGAGAGCGGGAGAGAGGGAGGGAGCCGGGGAGAGGAAAGGAGGGAAGAGAGAGCGAGAGAGAGGAGGAGACGCTGGGAGGGTCCACAGCCAGCCAAGTCCTGTCAATCAGACGCCTGGCTCTGGGGTGGTATGGGGGCCTTTAGAGATTCCTCACACTTGCTGCACTGTAAAAAAAAAAGGAAAAAAAGAAAAAGAAAAAACTGATCCGTGTGAACAAGCGATTAGCCTGATGTTGTATTTATATATTTCCTCTCTTTTTTCCTTTGCCACAATCTCGTCCAAAGCCATCCTAAACTGAATGCTGTGCTCAACATTGTGCTCCGAACGTAATAATAGGCTGTATGTCACAAGGAAAACAAAGCTTTAACGGGATTAAACAACACTTTCAAACGGCAACAGTTACATCTCATCAGTGGGAAGGGTCATCACTGAGGATTAGAAACAAACCTAGTCATGACCTTTAAATTAAGACAATAAAAGTCTCCTATATGAACCAAAAGTTTGATTCATTTATTTTGTCAAAATCACAGTACGTTAGACTATTTAGGTGAGATAGTCGTTTGAAATGGAAAGTGTCCGTGAGGTAAACTGACTGGGTTTATCCAGGACCACATTCTTAGAGAAAACAAACCTCAACAAATCAAACCATCTCACTACTGATCCAGAGTTGTTGGGATCTACAGTATTGTCAGACTGGCACCAGGATAAACACTCCCATCTCCATCTAAAAAAATCCTCAATTATTTTTGATAAGAGACATGGGCATGTGGCAATTACTGGATAAGCGTCAGTTCTGTCTTTTCCCAGTGGTTGATATGGTTCCTGCAGATGCAGCAGTAGACAACGCTGACATGCACAACAGATACCAATCAAACACTTTATGGAGATTTATTCTGCCTTTTACATGTGTTTTGACTGCAGTTTGGGCGTCAGGAATGTGTGTGTGTGTG